GAATGGAGAACAACTCAGAGGCAGCTACGATGGAAGAGGAATCCTCTTCTAACCTGCATTTTAATGAGCCACATCTGCAGGCTTGCATTCTCTTTTTCTTCTTCCTTCTGGTTTTTTCCCCCCAACTTGTAAGCTAGCCAGGAAAAGGCGCTGTTTTTCTAGCATTATTTCTGCACTTCCTGACATGCTGGACAGCAGATACTGAATAGATTTATCATCCTCTCGTCATTATATAAACGCCCAGTGAAGCTCCTGCTTCATTGGTCAGACCTTAACGGGAAGGGACCTGGGGCAGTGGCGTAGCGTGGGTTGTCAGCACCCGGGGCAAGGCAAGTAATTTGTGCCCCCTAACCCGTGGATTTGTGCCCCCTAACCTGTGGATTTGCGCCCCCTAACCCTAACCCCCAGATGTTGCGCCCGGTGCGGCCGGCCCCCCCTGCACCCCCCACGCTACGCCACTGACCTGGGGAGCTGTTCCTATCAGAAATTGTTGACTTTTTTAATTTAAAAAGTTGCTTCTTTTTTATGTATAGAATTGACATTTATTAGGCTACTATCCCACACTTCTTATAGAAATTAGGAGGATCTGAGGGGTTCCAGTGATCCTGAGTCCAGGCACTAGTTAGCATCAGGTGCTCCCAACTCCATTCAAGGCACTCAGAAGAAGCACTTTCTGAATGGTCCTCTCTGTAAGGACAATGGCTGATAAGCTTTCTTCTTTTCTCATCTGAGTTCATTCTAGGAAACTGGTTCAAATCTAACTGAGATTGGCAGGCACCGAAAGCAACTACTATCTGATGGCAGGGTGTGAGCACTGAGCTTGATGGTTCACAATCCCAAGGCCCACATACCGCATTATCATCACCATGACTTTGGCAAGATAAATTGGCTACTTTGTGACAAACTCAGTGTATTCATACCTAGGACTCAGCTACACTCAAGTCAGCTATATCGTTGTAACTCCATTGTAAAGATGCAACACCAGATGGCGCTCTAGAGCACAAAATTTATCTATGCAATTTTACATAGGGGTTTTTCTTTCTTTTGTTATAACGATCTAATTTATGACTTATTTATAGTGGTTTTCTTCCTGTGTGTAGATCCAGCCATAGAGTTCATTCACAAGTTCTGTTGGGCGCTTCTGAGGTGGGGAGAACTAATGGTGTGATCCCAACCCCTCCTCTGCATTCACTGTGTGCACCTGTTATCAACTGCTGATGGTGCTGAAAGGAGCCAATCTCTTTTGCTGTCTCTGCTGCTATCTCTTTGCTGTGTCAGAAGGAGGGGACAAGACCATCCCTCCAGTTGTCCTTCCAGCAGTGGCCTCTCCGTGTCACCAGTTGCCAGCAGGCGATAGAGGGGTTCGCTCTAAAATTTATTTCAGCTTATTATTAATCATCATCATCACCACAAGGTTCTGGTCTTTGATTGCTTTTATTTTGCATTGATGCAGGCTAATTGCTTTATGCAACTTTGTATTAGTTGTTTCATTGCCTAGAGATCCTGCTGATTAGGATAGGCAGGACATAAATTTAATATGGTAAATGAATAATTGTGCCTGGAATCTTCTACCTTATAGAAGGCGCAATGTGCCTTCATTGTTTTAATTTTCTTCTGACATCTTAAGGAGGATCTTAAGATCTTTTCTTGGGTAGCCTGCCATAGGAGGTCATGCGTAAGAAGTGCCCATGACTCACTCATCCTTCTTGACTCTGGGCATGAATTCTCAATAAGAGGAGCTTTTGTTGTGGCTACATCGTTTCACGTCAACTCCAGTCTGGGAGATCAGGCTGTAATAACAGAATTATCTGCATTGGGGAATGGAGAATCAAAACATGGACCCCACGAATGGCAGGAAATCAAAAATCTGAGACATTGTCTCTGGAATGAAGATGACCCTCTTGGCCGGAGATAAAATATCAATGAGATGAAGAACTGCCAGCTGCTACTGAATAGGGTGGCGGAATTACATCCCCTTCATGATGGTTGTCAGCTTGCATTTTCTGTTGCTCTAAGGCACTCCTAAATTCCTTGCTGCTAAAAAAAAAAAAGATAAAGGGGGTCAGGGCAGGCGGGGATAATAATATTCCATTTATGATGAGTTGCAGCTGAGCGACTGAAAACAATAGCATGTGAGAGGTGAGAGTGAAAGGAATTCTCGCAAAGCACAGAGCTCCAGCATCAATTGGGATTATGCAAGAAAGACAGAGTTTAGCTCTCTTTTCTGTGGGAGCATTCAAAATAATTCAGAGGACACTTCCATTCTGTAAGTTCTTGAAAGTTAGCAGCCGAGCTCTGAAATCCTAAGAAGAACTGAAATGAGGCTGGAGCTAGGATGGTGTCTTGGGGTAGTATACATCAGGTTGAAGCCAGAGATATCTACGGTTTGACTCCACCTGCTTGCCCCACTTGTTGTGTGGAAGACTCTCACTTTGTACAGCAAACAGGCAGAAAAGGGGGGAAGGTGAGGGAACCACGACAACTTGGCAAAGCTAGCTGGGCTAGATTTCATAGGAGGGCCCAATCAAGCAACGCCACATAAAAAGAACAAAAGGTAGTCAATCAGAGGGAGAATTGATTATTGGGCCGGCATGGTGGGCAGGAAGCAATAGGTTAGGCGCAAATGAGATAAACTGCAGCAAAGCAAGCTGGTGAGGGAGACCAGAGCAAGTTGTCTAAGCAGCCAGAATTTTACTGGCCTGCCTAGAATTGTCTCCTCTTGGCCAGTTGCCAAAATGAATGTATTTGTTATGAGCAGCTAACATCCCTGCCTTCCTTTCCCAACAAATTCATTTTTACAGTGGTCCGTTGCCCCCTTCTAGTCAGCAGCATTCTACGTCTTTGATAATTCAAGAGAGCCGAGGAAACTGCTCATCCCAGAGCTTCATTTCTCAAGCAGAAAGAGGCCGTGAATTAATCACAGAATTGCACTTTGATGTGGGAAGCGGAAGTTCCCTATAAGGATATTCATAACCCGTTAGGACAAGCCTATCATGCAATAAGCTTTGTTGCTGATGGATCGATATCCAACAGCTCGTGGGGACCAAGAGATGGCAAAATAATATGAAATATGAAAGGCAAGGCCAGAAATACATATTTGCAAAAGAATGGAAAGTACTGGAAACCTTTGCTGTCTTCTTCTTTCTAGAAACTAGAATCAAATCAACTGTTTACTCAACTTAAAACAGATCTTAGGAACACTTATAACAGGGCAGAACAATGAAGGAACAAATTTGCCAGTTTTTAAATGTTGCATTTTCTTTGTTGTTGATTTAATTTACAAAGAACCATATAGCACAAAAATATTGTTATTGTATTGAGGAATGCTCTGAGCAGCTGACATCCTGTTCTAAAAATATTCCTCAAATGATAACACCTCAGTAGAGTTTCAAGGCCTTGATTTCAGCTTTCACAACTGGGAAGACTTCAGAAATGTTTCTGTCTCCAAACAAGTACCGGTAGCTTGGTTCCAAGAGGGCAATGCCACTGCGATGGCCCATAATAATGTGCTATATGGTTCTTTGTAAGCCTTGCTGAGATGTACACTTTTCAACTATAATGTTGTTTTGTCTACCTTATTATAAACACCTACTTTCACTGCAGTGATTGACTATGCTTTTGGGTTTGGCTGTGATCTTTCCAAAGCCTTCTCTGACATTGATTTCTCAGGTGATGGCTGAGAGGAAGATGTGTGTCGATACCCAAAGACACTTCTTTCTTCTGTTAAGAGACACCAGAGACTGTAAACCACCTTGTGATCCTTGGATGTAGGGCAATATCTAAATCATCACCATCATCATAAGGCGAATATAGAAATTAGGGGTTATGTTGGTTTCAGGGGGTGTCCTTAGGTATTTCATGCCATCAGCAAAGCACCAGAAATTAAAAGCAAGCAAAAAATGTAAAGAAATGATAGTCCACATACACATCTTAGACTTTTCTTGATGGCACCTAGATCCGCAAAAAACTGTTACCTCTAGGTGCAACAGTGAATAGGAAAAACAATTTTTTTGTGCATGCGTTCCTGATACCCAACTTCAGGTGTTGATTTCAGGATCATGTGACTATTTGGGGCTCTTGGATTTTGAACTTCAGAACAGGAAATCTCAGTTCCAGATATATTCTCTCAGTGGCTTTTGAATTCATATTGAATTTCAGTGCTTCTCTACCAACAATGGAATGGTGCTATCTGAGCTAAATAAGCTTGTCGGTTAGCCTTTGTTTCCATTAACCAAGCTCAGGCAGGCACGTGGATTGAGTAAACTTGGTCACTGGGCTTTAATTCTGTCCATCGAAAGAATGCTGGGCACCTGTGCTAAACAGAATGGGCTGTTTGCACATGGTTCCATTCCTCGGGGGAATGTGGACAGCTGGCCGGAAGGGGCCCCTGTTGTTTCTCATGCTTCCATTGATCAAGGAATGTGTGAACACCTGCACTGGGCGGCCTAGGCTGGGCACATTGCCCATTGCTCCCAGGAGCAAGGGACATCTCCAGTTTGAACCCTGGGCCACTTGCAAATTGGTGTCCTCTAAAGAGATGGGAAGACGATGGGGAAAAGAACAATGAGGTGATGTCAATGGAAGCCCTGATAGAGCTCCAGACAGAGTGTGTTGTTGCCCAAAACCCAGGATGAGAGAACTCAAAGTACTTTTTGCTGGCAGGACTCAAGACAAAGCAAAAATAAAGGTTTCTGAATCTGCAAAGTATTATCCATGAATAGTAGCTTTGAAACTAATGTAAACAGTGGTTTTTAGCGTTCTGCCTTGAGGGAACAATTGTCCCATTGACTTTTAAGCTGTCGTGAAATTCTTCTGTTCTAACAGGGAATTCTCAGCATCCTCCCTAAATCACAATTCCTAGGATCCTTTGGGGGAAGCCATGTGAGTTAAATTGCTAGAAAAACACTGTAAATGGGCTGCATAGCTAAATAAAACCTCTGTTGATCACATGTGGAGAACTCGACTTCATGTTAGATTGTTCTCTCTCTCTCTGCTTCCAGGTGATCTTTCGTGCCTTAACTCCTGCTAACAAGATTGAAGACCCATACGGTCCTGAAGCACAAGACCTCATGAAACTCACCAATCTGCGGCTCCTCTTATTAAAGAGACAAGAGTGTCCTTGCCAAGGCTCCGGGCTGCTGGAGAAGCCCCACAGATTCTCCCATTATGCCATCTATGACCTAATTGTCCGAGGTAGCTGCTTTTGCAATGGCCATGCGGAAGAATGCCAACTTGCCAATGGGACAGTTGTTGTGGACAACATGGTAAGTGTTCAAGTTATGCCTTCTTAAAAACAACATAAAACAACCCTGCATATCTAGTGCATTAGATTTATCCTTTTGCATGGCTAATAGACCACAGGTTGTTGAATGTGGCCACAGTGTGTATCTCCAAACAATTAAAATACCTGTTTCAGGCTTCTCTGATCAGAACTTAGGCCCGGCTCAAATGTTGCTGTGGCGACAGGCCTGCTGCAGAACTTTCACACAACCAAGCGCTATGCCACTGTGGTAACATTAATTTTATTATAGCTTTTGACACTGAATTCTTTTCAGCGTTGAGCACAAATGAAGTCAAATCAGATATTAATGAAATCACAATAAAAATAATATAGCCAAGGCAGTAGGCCCTCTGGTCGTTGGTGGGGTCAGTCTAGCTTCAGTAATCTGAACAATTCATCTACTGCTGAGACCTTTCTGTAGAACAGGCTTCCCTAACCTGGCATTCTCCAGATATTTTGAACCACAACTTCCATCAGTCCCAGCCAAGACAGGTGCAGTGACACATCCACTTTATCCAAATTTCCTTTAGCATGGGATAGGATGGGATTGTTCTGCACCTGCAAGTTCCATAAGAGTTACCAGGTTGATATACCTTGGTACTTGTTACTTGTGCAGAAAAGGACAATCATCACAGGATGGCAACTCTGTTCCAACATAATGTCTCAATCCCACGGAATATCTGGTGAAATTAAGTTGGGGAGATGTCTGCTTCTGAAGCGGTATGCCCATGTGACTTTAAAGTTGCAGTTCTGCAATTATGAATGAAGAGCTAAACATCTAAGACATGTGCTTTCATTATTCCTGCCCATACTCAATGGATGTGAAGTGTTAAACTATTAATATTTAAACACTGATGAAATACTAACAATGCACGGGGCACTGGATATTTCAAATAATTCCATTTTTTGAAATGAAGGAAGGAAAGAAAGACCTGGAGGGAATGTTAAATCCTCTTCTGATTAACAGCGGCTCTCAATTCCAACCTTATTTTGGCCTCTAGAGAAATGCCAGATTTGCAAGGAGTCTGGGAATTAGTCGTTTTTTGGATAAGCTGGGAACAAGTTTATAATTACATCTAAAACAAAATGACAGAATGAGGGCAAATTTGCAAAGCTCATTTGGGTTTTGTGACTTACATTTACCTACATGTTCAAAAATAAATAAATTGTAAGAACCCTTTTCTCAGTGTTTATCTTTCCCAGCAGTTTAAAATGAAGTTGATTAAAATGGGTTTGGCAGGTGATGATGAAACTAGCGAAAGGCCTATTGCTGTGTCAGGTGGGATGCTTGGAGAGAGAAGCAGCGCTACTGCTAAGGCCTTCTAAGCCAGGGGTTGAGAAGAACCTCATGCCCACCAAGCCCCTTTGGCCTATCCACGCCCACCTGCCAGTCCCCTGACACCATACAGGGAAGACTGTTTAAAAACTCAACAGAAATTAACTGGACAAAATAAATTCAAAAATAAGAAGTGACATAACAATAACTAGGAGGGAGCCAGATAGATCTTTTTGGACAGGTACAGCCTAGGCACATCCATGGACTACAAGAGTATCCACCATGGACCTGTTCAGATGTTGTTGGACTACAACTCCCATCAACCATGACTGTTGGCTGGGGCTGATGGGAACTGCACCCAACAACTTCTGAAAGGCGCCACATTGGCTACCCCTGGACTAGGTCCTCCTTATAGATCTTGCAGTCCAGTCGCAGCCTCCCTCCACACACATCCTTACTCAAATGGGGAAATGTGCACACAGCACCAAAGAGTGATTTTTGCCGGTCTCTCCTATTGGGCTCTAGGACCTTTCCCTATACCTGCTGCTCACCTCCCTGCTTTTCCCAAGGTGAGTTTACTTGTCCTTGAGAGAAGAAAGGAAGGCAGAAGAGAGGGGGGTTTCCCCCCTCAAGCGTTACAGCTGAACACTTGGAGAACCCCTCAGAGGTTTCCAAGCTCCCAACTTTAATGTTTCTGGGGCACAATTAATTTTGGGGGTAAACACAATTTTGCTTCCCCATCCCTCCTGCTGATAAGGTTTGCAGCCCCCAGAACCTATATGAGTAAATCTGTTAGGCCTCAGATTGCCAGAGGCCAAAGGAGAACTTCCCTAGAACCAAACATGGAACAGTGCCCAAAGAGCTTTTGTCATGCACACACAATTATTATACAGACATGACCTTCTGCCATTCCTACTATAAATACAAACCAGGTAGCAAGAAATATCAGGAGTTTAAACAAAAGGAACTAGAATGAGGCAAATAGGTGTCTTACTTTATAGAGGAAAGGCCTCTATCTTGAAGGCCTGTCAGAGGACAGTCTTATATTTGGAATTGTCTTCTGCTTGAATGGTGAAATGCATTGTATTTCTATTTCAATAACAATAATTATCATGTGCAAATTTCCTGCAAAATTTTTACTCTCTTTTTTGTGAAGGAAATCCCCCCCCCCCATTTCTCTCAGCAGTGCATGAACTGGTCACTCTAGACACCAGCATACCCTCCAATATTTCTCCAATGAAAATAATGATCTCCTATTCCATAATGGGGACGCGGGTGGCGCTGTGGGTTAAGCCACAGAGCCTAGGGGCTTGCTGATCAGAAGGTCAGTGGTTCGAATCCCCATGACGGGGTGAGCTCCTGTTGCTCGGTCCCTGCTCCTGCCAACCTAGCAGTTCGAAAGCACGTCAAAGTGCAAGTAGATAAATAGGTACCGCTCCGGCGGGAAGGTAAACGGTGTTTCTGTGCGCTGCTCTGGTTTGCCAGAAGCGGCTTAGTCATGCTGGCCACATGACCCAGAAGCTGTACGCCGGATCCCTCGCCCAATAAAGCGAGATGAGCGCCGCAACCCCAGAGTCGGCCACGATTGGACCTAATGGTCAGGGGTCCCCTTCACCCCCTTTACTATTCCATAATGATGAGGATGCCCCAGTCACTCTGGGCAGCTTCCAACATGTATAAAAACAATAATGAAACATGAAACATTAAAAAAAAAACCTTCCATATACAGGGCTGCCTTCAAATATCTTCCAAAGATTGTATAGTTATTTATCTCTTTGGCTCAGGGGCCACATAACTCCATGCGCTCCAATATTTATCCAATGAAAATAGGGACGTCCTAAGGAACAGCGGGACATTCTGGGATCAAATCAATAACTGGGATGGCTTCTGTAAATCTGGGACTGGAAAATAGGGACACTTGGGGGGGGGTCTGTGCCAGTCAACATTTGGTTTTTCAAAACAGACAGGGCCTTTCGTGGGAAGAAAGGGGAAAGAAGTTCTGAATTACAAGTTTGTATCAGGCCCAAAGAATTCATGCTTTAGCCATGGCTCATGGTTATCAGCTGTGCAGTGTGGGCCAGAAAAACCGAAATGCATAAGGTTCTTGCATGACAAGCATTTGAATCAGAGCTCCGGGTATGTGTGGAGGAAGGGAAATGGAAAGAAAATTACACACTGCAATGAAGAGAAGGATGGTAGGGAAGTAATGATAACTAAAGCCCCTCACCCTGAGATATTTAGAAAGTTCTCCAGATTCAGGTTCCAAAATCAGAATCCAGCCCATTTAACCAGAAGCGAGCAACACCAATTAACAGCTGAACTCTGCCAGTTTCCTTGTTTGGCTCTCTAAAGAAATCTAAAAGCCAAAGTAGTTTAAAATACTTCTATCTTGGTGAGACATGACATTACACAGTCCAGGATTCCTTTCACAATCTAGCTTCATATACCTTTAGGTTTTTGTAATCTTGCCTTGCTTTCTTCTGAGGTGGAAATTCCTTGCTTCCATTTCATTGTTTTAGAAGTCAGGAGGACAAATAACAACTGTATGAGTTCCACAATATTTTAAGAAAAATCCTGAACCACCACAGCTCTGGCATACATCTAGGATTCACCCCCAGTATCCTAGCAACAAAGGATGTTATTAAACTCCACCCACAGGAAATATGGGTCCACTTAAGGAATGAGTCGATAAGAGGAAAGCAAACAGCTAAATATGCAAGTGTTGAAGCCTCACAAGATGAATAACACATTAAATTAACGCAGCTGGTTGAAGAATAAACACACTGCCCAAGAGAAAACACATTATGGCCCACGCTCTTGGCACAGTGATTGTAAACCTTAGCTGGATTTCTCTTTTATATTTTCCTCTAAATATTGTGCCACTAAATGACTTCATCCAGCATGGAATTGAATTGTTTTGTTTAACCAAAATTCATAAATTCCCCATTTCTCAGAATTTAATAGGAAGAATGCATCCAGATACATTAACACTATTTTTTTTAGAATGAACTTTATGAGTTTTCAGCTTGTTTTCTTGAATGTGGAAAAATACCTCCCATTTTTGTTGCTGGTTCATCTTTGCCTTTACTCTGAAGTTTCACTTGCAGATGTTGTGATTTGATCAGATTGGCTGTGATGGCCTGCTTGATTTTGTCATCAGTATTGCATACAGTGCATATGACGTGATTTCTGCATCCTTGGGACTGGATCCAATGGGCTTAAGTTAGAGGGTGATAGAATTCCAGTAGGCAGTAGGAGAAACATCTTGGCAGTAAGAACAGTTTGACAATGGAACCAAAGGTCTTGAAGTAGAAGGTGGTCAGGCATCTGTTGGAGATGCTCCAGCTCTGGATTTCCTTTATTGAGCTGGCCCGTACCATCTCTATGATGTCACAGGACACACGTAAATAGAATCACATAAGTGGCCACAGCCAATAGCATTAAATAGCAGTAGATTAAGCTGTGGATTGTTTGTTCATCCAATAGAGGGTTGTTGTTGTTTTTTAAGAGGTTCATAAATTGTTGCAAGTCAGGGTAATTATTCATACCACAGGAGCTTTCCAATAGGTAACTTGTGGCATTTGTGCAGCAATACATTGCAGTTTTGAGTGCAAGGAAGGTGTGGTGTCCTCACTATAGGACTATTTAAGAGGAATTGAGATGTTTGGACCTACTACAAAAAAAATGAGTAACAACTTTGCATTCAT